TCATACTGGTTTTTATACCTTTTTTGTAATGAAGACAGACCAAAGAAAGAAGGGATCTATTTTAACATCTATGAGGGTGGGGTGATATTTAGGAAATAAATCGGAGGGGATTTTTCCTTCTAGCTTTCTGTTTGCAAAGATTGTCAGAAAAAAATGGAAATTATTGATATGACTGCTCAGAAATTTTCTACCACTACCACCTCCTGATTTCTTACCTACAAAACATTTTTCTTACCCATATTTTTGTGGATTTTCAGGTAGAGCACAGGCTAAGTGTTAGCCTTGAGACAGACAGACAGACAGACAAGGTTTATGGCTTTCTAATGACTAGCTGGGTGGTTCTAGGCAAATGACTTTAAGCTCTCTGTGCCTTACTTTTCTCAGGTGTAGAATGTTAATTCTAATTCAGGGGGCTGCTGTGAAGTATAGATAAAGCAACGCCGAAAGAGTTTGGAACAGTGTCTGACACATGCTAAGAGCTCAAGAAATGATAATTCTAACATTTTTAAGGAGTGTTCTAGTGGGACACGAATAAAGCACTGAACTACAATTCCAAATTTCACACAAAATATCTATTTTATTCACCATTTCATCCTAAACATCTAGGGATTAGGAGACTGATTCTCAGGTTTTACTCCTAGACTTGTCGCTATCCACTGCCCGTATTGCATGCTGTGCCCAGCTGTGAAGTCTTTGGAAAGTCACTAACTCCTACCAATCTCTCTCCTTTTTGGTACAATGAAGGAATGATACAAAAGAGTTACAAATTGTAGTAGATCTATAAATTATAACTGACCATTTTAAATACTTAACAATTTATCCTGAGCATTGTGCAGGCAGTGCATCTGTTTACATACTGACTATCCTGAGTATTGCTTAGGCAGGTGTCATTTCAATCAGTTGATTCTTGTATTGAATAAATGGGATAAAATTGTCATTTTCTATTTCTATTTATTTATTTATTTTGGTACCGGGGATCGAACTTGGGACCTTGCACTCGCGAGGCAGGTGCCGGAACCACTGAGCTAAATCCTCGGCCCTATATTTCCTTTTATAAATCTTATAAAAATTAATGGCCATCCACAGCCACTTCAGTGAGGCATAAACAAACTAATGTACTACCTTTGCAAATAATCTGAGTTTTTTTCTTTCTTTCTCTATAGTTATCAATCCACCAAATTCTTCTGTGTACTTTCCTTGAAAAATTCTCTCTCATACAGTCTTCTCAAAACCTCTCAGCCACCACAGCACAGAAACACACTGGGATTACCATCATGCAATCTTATTGTGATTCTGCCTGAGTATCATTTCAAGATACAGATTCATAAAATACAATTTGCATCTGAATCATTTCTTACCCCAAGGTAGACTCCCTGTTCTTTCCCTTTACCTAATCTACTTGGTGATCAAAATCCTCCCTATTTTGACCTTTCCTAGTCTGTGGAAAGTAGGTAATAACTTACCATAGAGTCTGCATGCAGAATCTCCTCTTCTACTTAGAGTAACTTCACAGAATTAATCATTGAAATCATTCTCTCATTTAAACACAATATCTAAAATGCTTGTTTCTACATGTTTTGCCCATGGTGTTTCCCATTTTGGAATAAGTAATCAATTTTTTTTTTTTTTTTTTTTTTTCCACCCTGGCTACTCATATAGCTTTGGCTACTCATGTACTAGCTTTTCAATTAATACTTTTAGCCCTACGTATTAGTACTGTATTATCTTGCGTTTCATTCTCTGGTTTTTGCGCTTACGCACAAATGTCTCCTCCTTAACAAAACTATATTTTCCTTGAGGGCAGGTAGCTTACATTATTTTTACCTAATAAATATTCATTGAGCTGTAGCATGGTGCTAGTCACTGTACTGGGTTTTGGGGTATAATGATGGATGGGACAGATATACTCTCTGGTCCCCATACAAACTATGTTCCAGTGTGTGTGTATGTGTGTAGGGGGTGAGGCAAAAACATTTACACATACATAAAATAATTAGAAACTGAGGAAACATCATGAAGAAAAATATGAAGTGCTGAAAGAAAAGATCCCAGAGGGCTGGGGATTTAGCTCAGTGGTTCTGGTGCCTACCTCGAAAGTGCAAGGTCCCAATTTCAATCCTTGGTTAAAAAAAAAAAGAAAAAGTCCCAGAGTTGAGATCAAAAGGATAAAATAGGGGCTGGGGGTTTAGCTCAGTGGTTTCGCTGCCTGTTGCGCAAGCGCAAGGACCCAAGTTCAATCCCTGGTACCAAAAAAAGAAAAGACAATATAGAAGTAAATGTAAAATGGCACCCTGGTGCCACAGAGAAAGCCAAGTAAATGTCAGTGCTCATAAGGTGTAGAAGATAGACGACAGGCCATAGAAGATGAGGTTAATGAGTACAGGTTGGATGTAGTTCCCAGCATTAAACTAGAATCAAGAAGTACTTGCTAGGTGAGAGTAGACTTTACTTAAGTGTTCTAATGCATGATGGCAAAGATCATTTCTGAACAAGGGACATTTCTGAATTTTGTTGCCTTTATATTTGGTTTTCAAACAATACTCAATACCATAGCTTTAAAAACAAGAATACAAACAATTATGAGACGTGTCAGAATGCTCATTTTAATCACCCAAACATGACTAGTGAGCATTCACAGTGAAATAAATAGCTGTGAAAAGGCTCTGTGTGGCAGTAAGAACAAGAGGACCTGCTGTTAATAGCTTTCAATTTTTGTCTTTCCCAAGTTCAACAAAAAACACATAGATCAATGACATGGACGGCTGTCCATTCCACATTACCAGTTAGATGCCAAAACATTTTACACAGGGCACCTAACAGATGGCAATGTATTTTGGTCATTATCAATGTGAGCAGGATTCAAACCAGTGACCCTAGAGGTGAGAGGTTGTACATCCAATTACAAATTCCCACTTTCGTAAGTGTTAAGATGCCTACAGCAATATATTTTATTTACATCAAGATGCATTGTATAAACTATATTTGATAAAAGAGATGACTTCATGTTCTCAACTTAAATCAAAGAATGCTTACTTAAGTATTTTTTTAATTGAATCTGACTTTAATGCCATCCTATAATCTTTTGGTTAACAGTGCTCATCTTGATTATTCTAACAAAGAAAAACATGGAAAGTAATACTTAAGTTGTAGTGCTTAAAGTAATCTATAAAAAATACAATTAGAAAATTCAAAAGAGGTACCTGGGACATCTGTAAAAGTTTCTCCAAGGACAGAGACGTGGAAAATGAGTCCCAAGTTCTTTAGATGTATTAATACCTTAAAAAAACTCTCTGGATCTTTGTCATGCTCCCTGGAAATAAACACACAAAATATAACTTACATTAGGGTAACAACCTTAGGGTATGTGTTAGGAGATGTGGCCTCATACTGCTTGTTCTTTGCAGGGTCTGCTGCTGGTTAGGGGAGCCTCTGGCATTCAAGCAGAAATTTCTCCCTAAACCTTATACTGCAGCATCAGCACAGAGTGTTTTAACATCCACAGACTTCTCTTTATGATCAAATCCAGTTGCATTGAATTTATAAATGTCTGCAGCCTTTGTTAGCAGAGAAGTTTTTTTTTTTAACATTTTAAGTTTGAACTACAGAAACTATATAGTATTTCTCCCAAAATTTTTTACTTAATACATTTTTTTAAAAACGGAAAGACCAGGGCTGCGGATTTAGCTCAGTGGTGCCACCACCTGCCTCGCAATCACAAGGTCTTGAGTTCGATCCCCGGTACAAAAAAAAAAAGGAAAGACCAATTTTCAAAGGATGATTCTGTATGGATCGTGAGAGTGTACTTAAAATGCTTTTCATTTCCACAGGTCTGAATGCCTTTCTCCCACATTTACTGAGCCCCTTTGTGCTCAGAAGGAAAACACAATTTAGAGAGTGAGATTATAGGCCCCTTCACTAATATCTCATTTTAAATAATTGAATGGTGAATTATTAGTCTCAGAATTATAGTCTGAGTCTATGTCTGATGAATATTTACTTAGAAGTGGAAGTAATTCAACATATAAAAGAATAATAATAAAGATACTACATTCATTTAGTGTAGGATTTGAAAAACATGGATTATTTTTGTTTAGTTTGTCAGTCTTCTTTCTAATGACAGAATGAGATGTTAAAGGACTTTACAATTTCAAAAAATTTCTCAAATTCAACAAATCACATTAAAATGAGTTTTTTTACATTATAAGGTGTGAATATTTCAGTATTTCTTGCATTTAATTACATTTAATTACACTGTTTTAAATTATCTTATTTCAGACAGATGTAGACCAGATGTCTTCAAAATATTTGTTTTTTATTTATAATTCAGAATTTTAACTTCCTTTTATATATTACAGAAAAATAGTTGTATACTAGAATGAAATTTCTCATTTACCAACTAATTATGTAAAATAAATCTGTAAATTGATTAAACTGCTATAAGAAATATGAAAATTACATCATTCAGGAAATTTCATGAAAAATGACATCTGTACCCCTAAATGTGTTAATTCACAATTCAGTCAATATTTTCAGTATCATGAATTAAAACAAATGCATCTTTTAATTAACATTTTAAATGTCATTCGTATTATGAAATTGTAAGATCTTATAGAATTAGAGGTCTATGACAATTTATTTTAAGCTCTAAGTCTCTCAGTTTGATTTACTTCAAATAATAAAGACACAATGGCAAAGTGTTCATTGCTTTTTGAGGTGATGCAAACTGCATACATGCACCTCTGGGAAGTTTTGGGATAGTTCTCATATATATACTACTGCTGTGGGCAAGAACTAAGCCTCCAAACAGTTTGAGAGGAAGGTGTATAGCATATGCTATGTTCAACTGTATTAATCAAAGAGCTGCCACCTTATTTGTAAAATGTTCTTTTTGTCTGATTCTCTTGGAAATACTTAGATGAAAAGAATGAAAACAATGTAACATAATATAAGTAAAAAAGGGAGTAATGCTACAGGGAAATCTAACCCCTTGGTTCTCTTAAGTTTTCATTTTGAGTTCTAAAAATTTTGGCTGTGGATTCCCAAGAGACCATCTATTCTAAATATTCTCTCTCTCTCTCTCCATCTTTTTCTCTCTCATAAAAGTAGGTGCAGTTTGGGATTTGGAGGAGTTTAACTGGGTAGAGATTATAATTCTTAAAAGATTCTAGTGTATTTTGAAAACAGCAGGTTTCATGATCCTCTATTTTCTATGTTCCTAAACAAAAGAAATGTCTTAAAATTCTACTGCCTTCTTTAAATATTTCTTATAAGTGGAGAAGAGCTTTCATATTCAATAGTAACTTTGCATAAGAACACACAAGAGATTTGTGTGAATTCCTTCTTTTTGTTTAAATATATGGCTAAACAAAAAAGAGAGATTTTTCTTTCCCAAATTATCCCTTAGAAAAAAAGGCATTTATACTAAAGTCTTTATATAACGACTCATCGTATAAGGCACTGTCTATTAATTTATTTTTGAACAAAGTACAGTACTCTGAGGAAGGTGCTTAGACTGAAATGTCATCAACTGATAAGAATTTAGTGGTTTTAATAGTTCTTCACTTGATGGGACTAAGTAAAAAATGGAAGCAAAGGAATTTAATACTGAGATAATAATTATTTTGAGAGATATGACTTAATGATTGTAAATGTTGGATACTGTTGAAAACAAGTAGCAGAGTAAGTGGTCCCTAGAGATAATGAGTCGTAACTCAGTTTTTATAGCTAGGAAAAAGATTTCTAGTGATAGCATCAAACATTGTTTCCCCAAGTCCTACACCCTTGGTTTCTTAGGGTGAATTCTAGATGAGAGGTAGTGGAAGCAGACCAGCTGTCTGAAAAGGTGACCGTGCTCTGATGTCAGGAATACAGAGGAAGGGAGTTGGGCCAAAAGTGCTTCCTGAAATATAAGGGTGGGAAAAGAGCAATAATTCTAAAAATATTCCTCATAGTATCTTACTTTAAAGTATTATTTATGTCTAAATTAGATTACATATTATAAATACACAATTATTCTATCCATGTCAAAGTTTAAAATAATTCATTTAGCTGACTTTTTTTTGTTTTCTTTTTAAAGAAATGGGAAATTGCCTAATGTTCAAACATACAATGATGTGCATAAATATTAATCACATACTAGGCATGGATGATATCAAATGGCAGACCTCAATACACTTTGTGAAGCAAGGAACTCATTCAAGATATTTAATGAATCATCCATGGATCTTACCCAGTTTCCAGATATCAATGAACCCATTTAGCATAATATGTGGATCTATCTTAAATTCCCTTCTAAGAAATCTAATGTGAAACCCTCATTTTTCCGATTTTAGCACAAAGCATTAAATATAAGATGGAGGCTTAAGACATAATATCCAGAGTGCCTCGTTCTGCTAATAGCTGTCCAGATTAAACATACACTTAATAATACATCCAAATTCCAGAACCATACAACAGATTTATTTATTCACTCCTAAACACTTTTGTTCTCATCCATTGTTGGTAGCACTGCAAGTTGAAACAATCTTTTAGAGGGCAATTTGATAATATACATTATAAACTTTAAAGTGTGTATAACTTCTATATCAATAATTTCAATTTAGAAAAGTTAGCCTATAAAATAAAAATGTATACTGAGATTCAGCTGGATTATGTTCATAACAGTTTTGTTTATAATGGCAACTATCTGTAAGCAATCTAATGGGATAAATGAATATGTTTTGACACACGTGATACAATAGCATGCTGTCATTAAACATAATGTTGCAGAAATATATTTCTTGACATGGAAAAATATTCATGAAATACTTTCAAGGAAAATGGAGATGACAGAGTAGTATGTATTATATATATAGTCTGATTTTGTAAAACAAATGGATGTGTACCTAGAAAAAAATTGTGGTAAAGTATACCAAAATGTTAAAAGGATTTATGTTTGGGGTTGTTGTAGGTGTTTTCTTTTTCCTTCAATTAACATTTTTATGTAAATAATTTTTAATGATTTTAGGAAACCACCTCTAATGTTTAAAAAAAGAACTATATTTATAAGCTTTTTGCTCAACTATGTAACATTTTAAGTCTTCACAGCAGTGTACTTTCCTGTGACCCTTCTATGTTTGACAACTGCCAGTCAAGCAAACTTGTTTTATCACAAAACATTCCAGTAGATAGTCAGGTCCAAGCTACACAACAATTTTCTTGCTCTTGACTAAGTAAGAATGAAACAGTCTGGCTGGGAAGTAGGTTCTCTGCACCCCTACTATGGCAGAAGAGACCAGCACAGAAATATTTCAGGCATACTGGAAGCAGTAGATTCAGCAAGAACAGCTTTTATTCCCAAATATTATTCAGAAAATTTGAAAAGCATAAACTGTTTCCATGTGTTTTTTCTTCCTATATCTGTCTCTCTCTGTTGCCTTTCCTGTTTCATTTCTCAGAGCTAAATTTCTTCTTATTCCTCACTTAACATTCAGTAAATATTTATTGAGGATTTCTAAGTTATCCATATTTGTCACTTATCCTAAACGGTCACCCTTTCCTATTTTTCTCACATTACTTAATACATATTGAATGCCACCTCTTTGATCTAGTTTCTTCACTGGCTTCAGCTAAAATCTGGTTCTTCATAGATATTAGTGTTCTCTGGAGCAATGCCACTGGATGGAGAGTTTCATGGGGAGGGTAAATGATACTTGCCTTGTTCACTAATAAGTAACCAGCACCTATGTGAGTATTAGTAGACATTGCTTGTGTTCAACAACATCCAGTTCTTGTCTCTTACTGAGCACACACACAAAAGACTTCATATTAACCCTCTCACAGCAGGATGAGGCCACAAGACGAATTCTGGTCAATGAATGGAAAGGTGATGAGTATCACTTTCAGATAAACATATCTGAAGCAGTTCAGGACAGCTCTTGCTCTGCTGTGGTAAGCCTTACAGTGATTTTGGATTAAAATGCTTAGGTTAAAAAAGTCAAGCAGTCTACAGTGCCACAAGGAGAGTTGCCCTAAACATGCATTAAATTAAGGTAAGAGACTTGTGTTGTTTTTAAGCAACTGAGATTAGGGATGAGGTGGGGATGTTTTCATTATTGCCACATAATGTGGCTATCCTGACCCAAATGATTTTCTGTCACAATATTAGCTGCTCTATAAATATCTGTTGACTAAATGAAGATGGTGGAAAGACGAGTTACATTCACAGAGCCCCCGCTATACTCCCATACTATGCAGCTGTTTGTAATCTTTCTGAAGCCTGTCAATCAACTGGTTACTATAAAATGTAACTACTGCTTCATCTAAAATCAC